GCTACAATCATGGACAATATACATTTGGACACAATAAAAAGTTACTCGATTTAACACATCTTGCTAGTTTTTACTGACGAGATGGCCTTACATTCCCTCACCCACCCCACCCCCCACCGGTCAATGTTGTCCTTGTACACAATGCCATGGTACTGAAGCATGAAAGAAACAAATGAAAATAGCAACCCAACATTGTACAGGGGGGTCGGGAGGGGCACGATATTCTACCGAGTGGTCGTTGTGTTTGTAACGGTAACACGTTGCAATGTCCCACGTAAAATGTCTAGCATTGTAGGTAGAATTACCTTCTCAGAGAACTTGAAAGTACTAACAACTCGTGAACCAAAGACAAGCAGGCTGTACCGGTTATGTCTCGTATCRCTGTARTGATCCACTATGGATTTGATTGTATCTTTTATCAGATTRAATGTCGTGGYGGAATCTGAAGACGTCGCGCTGACAGCAAACATGATATCGACTTGACATGACTTTGGTCGAACTGATAACAGAAAAACAAATTGATATCAAATAATGGATATCTAATCTAATCATATCTAATCCTCCCTTATTTCTATGTCTGTCTGTCCGTATATTGTCAGTCTGTCATACCAGAGAATGCCATCTTCATGATCTTCTCTGCAAGTGTATCGGGGTCTTCATCAGTTGGAGCAGTTATGAGGTATTTTCGGTCAGCCGTAGTTTGYTCAAGTTCACTGGTATCAGCCTTGTTGCCAATAGCAACGGGAATGACGTGAATGTCATCATTTTCCAGAGAAGCGGCTTGGCGTCTTACGTCTCTCTCGGTGCTGCCTGACTTCTTGTCCACGATGACAACCAGGATCTGAGGTGGAAACAGTAGATCAAAAAATACAATCACAGCTTTAGATGAACACTAATGACGTAATAGATTTTTACCTTCTTAGCATCCTTTCTCGCCCCAGGATCCTTAAACACTTCACGTCCTTTCTCAAGGGCTTTAGCAAGCACAGGGATCCCAACATCTCTTGGAATATTATCCACGATTCTCTTGAGTTGATCAGGGTCCCTCAGTAAAGCCCCAAATAGCAGCCGTACGTTTGTCGTTTGACCAAATGTTATAATACTATAACGAATATCTGTTATACCATATTTTGTAATCACGGACTTGATAGTGTCTTGTATTAAACGGAATACTTTACTGGCTTCATTGGAGTCTGCACTCAAAGCAAAGGCTAGATCGATTTTAGGGATGTTATCTAAAGAAGAAAGAATCAATAATAAAGGAATAGACAACATACAATGTATGAAGGCTGAAAGATAAATGAAGGCTTTTCTCCATTGGTTTGTGATATCAAAGTATATTAAACTTTGATCAACTTTGATTTGAATTAATATACGTTAACCATCGATTTCAACCACCGATATTACATTACCTTTGAAAACCTTTTCCATAATTTGTTTTCCCAACACCTCGGGTTTCTCATCTCTCGTYACTGTTATCAAATTACCCTTATCTGGACTGCTATTGGTCATTTTATCAGGCTCAGAMTCGCTGCCAACAGCAACAGGGATGACCTTGACCCCCTTACTCTTGAGAGATTGGGCCGCTGACCTGATTTCATTTACAGTAGCCCCAGTACTATGGTCCATGATAACAACTAAAACTTTACGAGCTTTTGGTCGAGCAGTCGGGGAATTGAAAGCGTCGATTCCAGCCTGCAGTGCCGTGTTCAGCGGTGTTCCCACAGAGCTGTAAGGCACTTTGTCGATGAAGCTTTTAAAATCGTCAAGACTTGGAAATCGCTGAGGTGAAAATAAKGGAGGTTTATCACTTAATGCAATACCATATGGACTAACAGTGGTGGAGGGAATGGATTTGAATGGTGGAGAAGACATGAGAGCTTTCAGGAAAGCACCAATCAAAAATTGCCTTGGATTAACCAATCAGAATCAAAAAAAGGAACAAAGGCACTGTACATWATATCAGTATATCAATAACACTCTCAATAATTTCCTAATAACATTTCTTTAAAATGATGGAGAACCCGGGTAGATTACCTCAATAGATTTAAAGTCAATGACTCTAGCTCCGTATGTAATCATGCTGTAATGKATGCTATCTGTTCCATAGTTGTCAATGATGTACTTAACGGTGTTCTTCATACGGTTAAAGATGTCTTGTGACGAACTTGAAGCAATACTGATGGAGAACGCCAAGTCAATATCAGCCATCATAGGYTTTTTGGAACCTGAAGTGACAAATAAGCACTGATAAGTTAAAAGGTATTGATCGTTTTCAATCATTCCCATGAGATTCAAAAGATAAAAGACCGGCGGCCATGTTGGAGGAATGAACAATAGATACTAATGAGAAATCTTTTGTTGAAGTTCATCCAAGATGGCCGCTGTGACGTATGGTGAAAACGAAGAATTGTTCACAAAATAAGGACAATGATACATGGTTCAATGATACATGGTGCAATGATACATGGTGCAATGCACTGTGAGGAAAAGTCAACAAAAAGTGAAATCCCAGACAACTTTGTTTTTCACTTGTCCTGGGTTATCCACCATGTCAAACATACCTGATTCTTTGAATATCTTTTCCATAATTTCTTTTCCAAGAGTATTGGGATTTTCATTCTTATCTGATTTCAGGACGTTACTTGGCTTTGAGGTGGTACCTCGGAGCTCACTAGTGTCCGCTTCATCACCAATAGCAACAGGAATAAYCAGAATGCCTTGCTGAAGCAATGGATTAGCCGCTGACTTGATATCGTAGGCACTWACTTCGGACTTTTTATCGGTCATTATGACAAGAACCTTTGAGACATGAAAGAGAAAAGGTAGGTAATTAGCATATTATACCAGGCAAATAATGACCCCTGATAAAGGTAAGACCATCCTCAGAAACTCACACCCAGGGCCTTATGGACGGGACGAAGAGAGGCGGAAAAAAGAAAGATGAAAGACGATAATAAACTATTCTCACCTTYATCGAGTTCTTTCTTAAACCAGACCCATCGAATATACCCTTTGCATGCTTCAGTGCGTTATCTAACTCTAGCTGTCCGCGATTTCGTGAAATTGTACGTATGACAGAGATTATGTCATTWGAAGATGAAAAGTCGTCCTGGAAACGAACTGCGGTCTTGATACGTGAACCAAAAGTGAATATGCTGTAGTCTATCTTACCAAGACCATACATATCGACAATAGATCTAATAGTTGATTTCATTAGCAGAAAAGTAGTTACT